GAACCCAACAGCTTTGCCCAGAAATGGCACAAAACCACGCACCGAGTTTGCAGCTTCTGCACTGCTGGTCCCAGGCCACTGTGCATGAAGTCCTAGGAAGGGATAATTAACCCAATTAATTCCACTACAAAATGAATAGCCAGCTCTCAACAGCCTCCMCGAATTCCCCGGACTGAAATGCATTTAGGCAGCTTTGTGTGACTTCAGGTGTGAGCCGCCGTGATGAGGAGGGCAATGGGAAGCGCCTGCGAGGCAGCTATTTTCTCAGCTGAAGTGCACCGTGTGCCCACAATATGCRGCAAGAACTGTTTAAATATCAGTTGCCGGAGCCTGCCAAAGGAGAAATAAATTTGCCTTGTGCATTCAAGTGCATTTTTACTTTTGTCAGTCTTGCTTCTCCTATAACACATCTCCCCCGTGAAATGTGTTGAACAGAGATAACCAGGCAGAATACATCCCCAGGGACTCGCAATGGCAAGAAAACAATCTTGATATTCGCAGTGAAAAATGTCAAGTAGTTTTTTCTGCCACTTATAGAATTAAATGATGATGTTTCTTATATGCTCTCCGGGGAGAATTTGCTTTGGGAAAAGCTGGACTTGGAGAATTTATGCACGGGTGTATTTATTTATTGCACTCACTGAAAGATAAAGCGAGTGGGGAGAAATTATGGGCAAGGCTGATGATTTTGCCCATGCACTGGGCTTTTCTTTCTGCACATGTTCCTTCTAAATGCATAGGGGATATTATCAAAATTAGCAACATGTAAATGCAATATATAGCAGCTGCCCAGAGCTGCTGGGTGTTGAGCRCCTGGGTAAGAGCCACGCGAAGCTGCTGCAGGAGGACAAGATGTGGGATTTTTGGAAGCTCCTTTGCTCTCTACAGCTATGGGGTCCCCTAAATATTTTATTCATTGCTTATTTGCTCTTTGGGCAGCAAAACTGGGATTTGGAGCATTTACTGAAGACCCAGTAACAACTTGGCAGCATCAGGGTTGATGCACCAAAGGAGATTAATTGCTGATGGACGTTGCATCCATAGGAACTTAGTTCATGCTGTATGGATGTGCAGGAATGGAACAGTAATCTTGTTTTCCATGTACATGCTACTGGCCCTCATGGGTTATATGAATTAATTGTGCCTCTCACTTTCCCATGCTAAAAGACAAGGAAAACTTTCCAGTTGATGGGGGATTTAATGTCATTATCCCGATTTTTAGGAGAGAATGAAGTGATGGGAAAGTGAAGGGGGCGGTTTGAGGCTTTCTGTGGAGCTCAGCTGTGCAGGCTGGTGGGCATGAACAGGCTGGTAAAAGATGTCCATCTCTGATGCCTTATTAATTGTCTGCATTAATTACAACTTTTGATCAACTGCAGGATATGTTTGCATTTCTGCAAGGCTTTGCTTGGGAGTTTTAATCATATATGCCCATAGGAAGAATCCCAAATAAAAACACTTGGCCCTGGGGAAGTGGGGAGTCCTTTTGGCTCCCTTAAAAGTACATAGTGTGTTTAGATTCATCTATATAAACAGGATATTAAGGAAGCAAATACGGTAATACCTAATGAACGCTTCCTGTTTAATCTGTTTTAGCATTTGCATGCTCTCAGCTGGTTTCTCCAGTAATTAAATTTCCAGTATCTTTAATTCCTAACTTGATCTTTCGCTCTCAGCTATTCTTCTTGTCCTATGCAACGCAAAAGCCTGGGATCAGAGGGAAGGCGACGTGGATATTYGTGCTGTGAAATCCGCTTCGGGTACCCGCGATGTCCCCAGAGGGGCTGCGGGAGGTGGCAGGAGCCCTGGAGGACGTGGAGTCCCTGGGGGCTTCCTGGTTTTGGAAGAGGGAGCTGGGAATAAAGAGCAAAGCTCGGGATAAGGCGCAGCGGGATCCCTATTTGATCAATAAACCCTTGGTTTTCTGTCCTGCACGGAGTTGGAAGGCGCAGGCGATGCCAGGAAGGGCAGGCGTTGGAGAGGAAATGGGCAGGATGGAAGCAAAATAATAAATAAATGGGAAAGGAAAGCAACGGTGGGCTGGGAAACGGCTCCACTGAGGAACTTATCAGTGAGTCAGATCATAATGTATGAGCTGTAGGGCCTCTCCCGCTGCTCCCGCTTGGAGTCAATGGATGCAAAAATAACTCCACAAAAATAATGGCCTGCAAATGATTCTTGGAAGTCACTTTTTGTCTCTCAAAAAATAAATATTTTTTTCTGTCAGTATAGGAGAAAATAACAAAATCTTTGCAAGCATTATGGAATAGCAAAATAATCATTAGTTGCCTTTTAGTACTAACAATGCAAAAAAAGGTGGGAAACCACCACATCCCAAGACTCTTGCACAACTTTGTGCTCAGGGCTTTTCTTCCGTCTCCTACCTTTCCCCTCACCACCAATTTTCAAACAAAGCACTGAGCATTTTGTAAAGCCACACGTAAGATGCACCTTGCAGAGAGGCATTCGCTAGTGAGAGAAACCTGCATTCCAGGGGAATGCTAATCAATTAGACACACTGTGCCCTAATGAGGGTTTTTCTTTCGTCTAATTAGATGAGTTAAAYGCATGTAGGAGTTAAGGCTTGCCAAGTAGAAATACAGTACAGATTGATGTTAAAAAAAGGCAATCTTAACAGTGACCAAAACTCTTTTCCTGGAAGTTTTGCAGCAGTTTGCAATGACAAATGCAGACAATTTGCATGGGTGCTCTTACTGCTGCATTTAGTGCATCGCATGCACAGCTCACAAGAGGGTGAGCACAAGAGCTCGGTGGCTGCACATCTTTGATGACAGCTCCTGTCTACCCTCCTCAGCAGCTCCAGCTTGGCCCCTTTGCTTATTTTTGCCGAGAAAACCCCAGATATGCATGTGTGCTCGGGTAGCGGGTTTGGAGGTGAATCATCCACCTTGCTGAGACCGGTAGCACCGAGAAACCACATTTTTCTGCTAGACCCAGTGCAGCCCATATGCCTGGCGTGAAGAGCTACAGTTTCTATAGTTACTGCTGCGTTAGTGTTTCCTTAACTGCTGCAATATTTACGTTGCAGGAGCTCTGCTTTCCCGGGCAGAAGAGGCTGGGTCCGGCCAGGCGTTGCAGGACCCATCCCGGGTTGCAGGACCCATTCCCTTAGGGATGCATGAGCTGGGATGAGAAAGCTGCAGCAGTGAATCCACAATGTCTAAACTTTGGGATAATCCAGCTTGGCACGTGCGATGCAGAGCCCGGAGAAGCTGRGCAGGGGGACGGTGCCATCTGGGAGGCATTTCAATATTCCAGTCCTGRGTAGTAATTAGTGAAGACGAGTGGAGTGGCCTTAGCTGTACCCTTTGTGGGAAGCGAAGGTTTAGAATACAAATTTGTCAAAGCCTCATATAAATAATACAGCTCCCTSAGCCCTCACACGGTGCATCACTTCATGTGTACAAATGATGTCCATTTTCCCTGGAAATATCTCTGTTTTCTTTGCTTTTTTAAGTGCAAGAAGCTTATCCTGGATCTTATTCACATCTTTTAAAATATATTTGCAAGTTTACTGCAAAGTTTACTGGTGTAAACCCGCTGCGTTGGCCTTTCCTTATACTTCGCTTGGAAGAGCCCGTGCACAGGGATGTCTGGACAAGTCACCGATGATGATGAAGCAAACGAACAGTCCTGCTCCTTCCAAGCTGCCGTCTCCATTGCCATCTAGCGGCACTGCCAGGGCCTCCAGGTCTGGGCAGGATGGGTTGGGAGCATCCCGGAAAAGGCTGTGCTCAGCGCCGGCTGTTTTGATGCAATTAGAGCGTGTCCCTCAAGTTTATTTCCCTCTCCACTCCAAGTATAATAATAATATATTCCAGGTATAACTAATCCAAGTATAAAAAGGGAATTATGCACATTTACACCTACTTCAATCCCTGGGAAAAAAATGAGGCCTTGGGGTGCAAAATAGGGATGAAACCTGGGACCGCCCAGGCAGCACAAGCCAGCCTGGACCTGGAGGGAGGGAGAGGCACCTTAGAGGGGTCATGAAGGGAGAAAAAGGGAAGCAAAGGCTGCAAAATCAGCTGTTCCGAGCTTCCCTTCACCTTCATTTTAAAACTTGCAGGAAGTTTCTACACAAACTTTGGGAGAATAGCTCATGGATTGCCTTGTTTCATGATTTCCCCCAATAAATAGCAGTCTGTTCTTCCTGCTTGGTCTTGCTTGCCTGTCCTTATTTGTTTTGCCYGCCCAGTGGTTTCCTTCCATGTCGAGTGTTGTTTATTTGTGCCTTTCAAGGGAACGAACCAGCCCTAAAGCAAATCACATGCGGCCCAGGACTTTGGCCTCGTTTGCATGGGGCAGGTCTGCAGGAGCGCGGTGGCTCCAGCCGGGCTGCTCCGTGCAAACAGGGGATGCCAAGTGCCAAGTTACGGCCCTTTTCCTTGGATCCTGCTTCCCTAATARCCCCTCGGCTCCAGGTCACAGCTGGTCTGCAGTGTCCACGGTTGGGGAGAATGAGGGAGAGCAAAGACACGCACAAAGTACCTGTGAAATATCAGTTATATTTATATGCTTTTTATAGCAATATAATACTTTATACAGGAGCGGGAAAYGTACTTTCAAATTGGTTGTTTTTCTTCTTAAATTATCTGTACACCTACATAACATGTTTGTGGAATAAGAACATTTTTTTTCTATTTCCTGAAGCCCCTGATGCTTTAGTCCCACATGGATACAGTAATCCCCCAGGACCTGCAAGGTTTTCCTTTGCTCTAGAAGCACACATTCAGATAAAGCTTGCTTTATAAACACCAGAATTGCATCGCAATATCCATTTTTATATATATTTATATGTATATATTAAAAAAAAATGCAGCTTCTATCCCTCATAAATACATCATACATAAAACATGTTCCCAAAATACATTCATGCATTTTCCCCTTCTAAAGATTCCTGCCTCTGTGTGCTGCTGGGGTTAACTCCTGGGAAAAAGCAGCTCCTGGTGTTCTCCATGGCCACCTGCCTATCCCCCTCCTGAGAGATACTGCCTGGAGGTGCAGGTGCACCAAACCATGCACTTTTGTGCCCAAAACAACACTGGACCTCTGAGGTACCCAGCTCCCAGGCTTTGGTTGCAGGATATCTGCAGACAGAAGGAGTTTGCGTATTTATTTTTTAAAGCCACTCAGAGGATGGAGATCCCATTTTTTTTTTATATATCCCTGGCACCATGTGCCCCATGGGCAACGGGAGAGACCCAACGCGGAGCTCGGAGCAGATTTAGTCCTTTGGCAGCGAACTGAAACCAGCTTCCCATCCTGCGCCCGCTGAAGGAAACATAAATATACAAAATATACAAAATACCTACAGAGTAAATCTAAATAGCACCTGGCACAGCGTCAGTGCCAGTTGTGCAGCTCCGCACTGCACGTCCTGCCCCGAGGAGTGAGTTCTACAGTGCGCGGGTCCCGGGGTCGGCCCCAGGCTGTCCCTGGAGCTGTACCTGGATTGTTTGGTCTGTGCAAATATTGGCAGACTAAGCAACAAATTGGCCTGATTGAGGATGTTTAGGAGAGTCTGTAATGCAGACGTACCCCTGACAAACACCAGAATCCTCTTCTTTACCCCTTAGAAATGACATGTGTCCAAGATTGTAAGTGCACGCTCAAAGACCATTAAGAGGACACTGTATGAGCAAGCAGCGGGTGGCAATCCAGCACCCACTCCACACCAGACAGTCTGTCATTGTGGCAAGCTCTCCCTTAAGCTCACAGTCTACAGAAGAAAAAAATAAACCCATTGCTTTTTCCACAATATGGYAAAACATCTTTACAGAGCAAACGAAGAGCAGCTTTGCATAGATCCATTTCTCATGTGTCCCTGCACCCCAGAGCAAAGCATCCCTTGAACAACAGCGGGAAATAAATGCAGGTTCAGCACAGTGCACATTGCAAAAGGCATTGCCTTTAAACAGCCCAACCAGCTGGAAGTGCACGGGCATGATGATGCTTCAGGGGGAAAGGAAGACACCACCCTGGCTACTTGCTTTGCATACAGTAGTTTAAGGGCCACTTGTCCTCTTTGCAATGCAGATTGCAGGACAGCGGGTCTCTTTTCAGGCTTAAGAAGCCCCAACTCAACCTTTGCTACAATTGGCTTTATGGTGGAGATATTAGGGACCAGACGCTCTTCTGGTTTAAGCCACTTGTGCTCCATTGGAGTTACGGGTGCAACTTCCACTGGTGGAGGACGTTATCCTGCCTTGCTACAGACATGGAATAAAGCTATAGTAGCCCTTTTTTAAATAAAATTAAATAACTACACATATGGCATCAGCGCACAACTTTCAATGTGCTTCTGCAGTTGAGAAAATAGCAAGTACACCAGTGGTTAGTTAAATTATCCTTCTTGAGCTAAAAAAAAAAAAAAATCGATAATATTAATTTAAAAATCCTAGGAACTGAGTGATGTCTTGCCATAGCATTTTTGAGACTGAGAGGGGGACAGTCACCGCACATTCTTGGTGCTATTGGTCCTCGTTGGTCTGGAGCGGAGGTTTGCTCTCCTGGAGGTCACTGTTCCCRTTTTCAGATGTGCCCGAGCTTCCCGGAGCGGATTCCGCGGGTGGTGGTTTGTAGAGTAAACAGGCGACTATAAAGAAGGTGGTTCCCAGCACCTGCARCCACAGAAATACCTGTTAGTCCTGCACCCAGCAACTGAATTCACTCCCTAAACTGGGCCTGGTCCTGAGCCGGTGCTGCCCAGCAAAGCAGCTGCGGGGTCCAAAAGGTGCCCGAGCGCACGGTGCCCTCGAGCACCCCGAGTCCCCCGCTCGAGGGGAGGCTCCTGCTCAGCCCCACGTCATGCAAAGCAAGTGCCAGGGATGGAAATCAGAGGTCTCCCAGCTTGCAAAGGCAAGTCCTGGCATTTKGGGCACCAGCGGGCAATCCCAAGCGGAGCGGAGGGCACACATTTCACTCTTGGGGTGAGATTTCCTAGCGGGATTTTAGGGAGATGAGGGTGAAGGTTACACTGGGCAGCAGTGCCAGATATGGCAAAAATCAGAAGTTACTGGGCTCTACAGCAATGAGACATGGAAAATCTACGAGGCTGTTTGGACAAGGATACTCACCCAGAGCACAGCGCGGTGCGGACCCACATGGCCAGAACTATTTTCTCGAAGGATTTTGAAAGCSTCTTTATCACAGCATCTGCTAAGCCCTACTCTGTGAGCCAAGTGCTTGTCTGGGAGCAGTTAAAATGATGCTTTYGAGCTAATAACTATGAAACCTGCAGCTAAGCTCTTGTATTTTCTAGCAGTGATCGGGGAATGGTTATTTACAGCTTGCCCACAGTGACCTCTCTCACTCTCACTAACACATTGCAGTCAGGTACTTAATKCCATTTCTAGCAAAAGTCACTCCAGTAATTGTTAGGAAAAGAGGAGATTTTTCATGTGCTGCAACAAAAACTGTAAGCCTAGGAAATAATGAGAATAAAAGAGAATGATAGTGCCCGAAGCACCATTAGATGGCAAGAAGCAAATGGAGCTTTGCCTTCAGCAAGAACATTTCCTCAATTACAGTGTAATTTGTGTTGTGGGCAGAACCACCTAAYACAGCTCTGCAAAATCCTCTCTCAGTGCAACACGCAGCCTGTCAGAGCACTGTGGGCATCTGTAGGCACTGCAGGCAAAGGAAAGACGTGGCATCACCTTGTAGACGAGTCCAGCAATGAGGGTGTAGCGGCTCATGGCCGAGTTCTGGTAAACGTAGCAAGATCCTTGCTCGCCGCACTGGTCCTGCCAAAGCAGGCACGATTTGTCAATCATGGAGCCGAAGGCGATGGGGCCGGGAATGCCACCTGCAGGGAGAGGGAAGGGGACATCTCTGCATCAGCCCTGCCAAGGGTTCCACACATTCATGCACCTTCTGTTAYGTTGTCCCAGAGCAGCGGGAGCTCCTCCTTGGGACTGCTCTATTTGCTGTGTTCAGCTTCAGCTTGCAAATGGCATGCAAAGAGAATTACCTTTTTATGAGTGGGCAAGCAAGAGGAAAGATCACAATAAAATGATTGAGGTTGGAAGGGACCTCTAGAGATCATCTAGTCCAAGCCCCCTGCTCAAGCAGGGACACCTAGAGCAGGTGGCACAGAGTTGCTTACAGGTGAGTTTTGAAGATCCTCCTCTCAACATCGTATGCCTTATCCCCCTCCTTTCCAAACCCACATCTTTCTTCAGAAGTAACAGGGTCAGATGTGCTCCACCAAACCAACCAGACCTACGTGAGCCAATTCGCCTCGCACCCTACCTAGAGTTCGGACGACGATCCACTGGATCCCCAGYGCAAACGACCTTTGCCTGTCGGAGACACAACTGAAAAGCAAGAAAAAAACAACAGGGATCATTGGAAAATGCCACAGGGCTGCCCAGAACCTCCATCCATCCTTGCTTCACCATCACACTCGGCTCCCATAGCCTCTTTCATAGCATGGGCCCTCCTTCCCCTCTGGAGCCTGGGGCTCGTGCTGGGCAATGCCACATCCTTCACTGCCAGCCAGGCAATACCTGGGTGCCTCATGGCTAATTGCTTTGCTGTGAGCACAGAGGACAGTGCTGCAAATGCTGCTTTTTTGCCTCCCCAGCTAGATGGCAATAGTTTGCACTCCTGCCCCTCTGCTCTGAACAGGCAGCAGAATGAAAGGGAGACCAAGATTTTGGGTGTTTCCCATGGCACTTACCGCAGAGTTGCTGTCAGAGCGGGAATACTGCTGAGGAAGGTGAAGAGGATCACGACRAACATGAAGAAGAGGAGCAGGGGCCTCTTTGCACATGAGGAGGTGCATTTCCCGGCCTCTGCCTCGCCAGGGCCGGAGCGTCGGCTCGCGGCGACGCAGCTGCACTCGCTGTAGACCTGGGGAACGAATGTGCAGGGTCAGTTTGTGAGCAGAGCCCTGCGAGGGCCACAGCTGGGCTGCAAACACAAAATTTCAGAGAAAGCAGAAACCTGTTGATTTTGCTACCAAAGTGCAGAGAATCAGAATCAGGCTGCATTCCTGACACACCTCTGCTTTCAACCGAACTTGTTAAATAGGAAACGGACTTTTCCAGGCAGCCTTTGAGTGTCATCACCACCWCTTAAGCACCCAACCTTGGGGTCCTCCTCCCATCCTCCCAGTTGGGCCATCAGGTCTACCCTGTCTCCCCACGCCATCCCTGCCGCTGGCTGATGCTCAGCTCCTGGTGGCATTTGCAGGCGGGCCAGGCTCTCAGAGCACGTGCTGACGCCTCGCCGAAGCRTGGCACCTCCAACCCTACCTTTTTGCCGCTCCCGAGCCTCCTGGAGGCCCTGCATCCCGCGTGGCAGGGCGAGTAGTACACGACGCCGTCGCTGCCGCACACGGGGCTGTAGGTCTCGCGCAGGCAGCCGCACTCGGCGTTGCAGGCGGCCGACAGGTTGAGGCGGCCTCCTGGCAAAGCGCTGCGGGAACACGGCAGCACTCAGCCCTGCAGGCACTTTTCCTCCAGGCAGAAACAAGGTAGAACCCCAGGAGAAGGGTGGGCGAAAGGAGATGCTAACATAGAGCCATCCTAGAAAGGACAGGCCAGGCRTAACGTTGGGGAAGGGTTGCGTTTCCTTTGCTTTTAACTGTGAAACAGGAATTGGGTCTGGTGGTGCTGATATTTCCTGGACTACATAAGGAACCTGTTCCATAAACACCGCATTATTGGACATCAGTGTTTGGAGAATATGACTCACTCTCGGCACCTGCCTATGAGACTGACTATGCAGTTACACTGGAYATTATATCATCTATCACCCACATGATAACACAAGAATAATATTAGCACTGTGTATTTGCRGTTATCCTTATTTTCCACCCAGTACAAGGCATCCGGGATTATTATTACCTTCCCTCATACATCTGCGTTACTCCTGCCATAGGCATGTTGGGGCAGTGGATGAAGAAGATGAAAATAGCCAGCAGACTTGACACCGTGCAAAGTAAACACAATTTGATGATTCCCGAGCAGCGGAGTTTAAATTTATTCACAAGAAATCCTCCCAGGAACGTGCCTCCCCCTCCGGCCGGCACCACAAGATAACCTGAAAAAAGAAAAACCCACAGACATGTTCACAAATGCCAGCAAGAGGGTCCTGTATATGTTAACTGCAGTTTTCTGCTCTGTTCTGCAGTGGTTTTGCAGCCCTTTGGCCACAAAGAAAGAGTTTCCTTACCAAAAAAAGTGGCAGCTTCAGAGGCACTTAAGCTAAACTGAGACTCGAGGAACTTGGGTCCAAACGTGGACATGCCTGCAATGAGGGTGGCCTCGGTGGCTCCCGCTAAGCAGAGGAAGATGAAGGTGGGATTCTTCAGGAGCAGCAGTACTGACCTGGCAAGGACAAATAAATGGTAACTGAAGCTCTGTGACACATTTTGATTTCAAGTCTGTCCCCAGGACCAAGGAATAAAGCTGTACTTCACATTCATGCACGTTACCCATACATGCCCTCCCTGAGAGTAACAATCTATATTAATCTCATTTTTTTTTTTGCAACCTGTGGGAAAGACCAAGCAAGTCATTCTGTATGGAAGACGAACCTTTAAGACACCTTATATCCCCCTGGAAAACAGAAAGCAATCTTGCTCCCACAACCTAAGCAGAGTTATACTTTAAGTTTCATGTGCATGTTGAACAAACGCATTTTCTTTTTGACCCACTGGGATTTAATAGAGACGTAGATATTTCTGAAAAATTGCCATGTGTCATTTATATGCAGAAAGACGATGCAGAAACGATTCCATCCCTGAGACAAACCCCCTCAGGCAGGCGGGATGGTCTCAATTACCTTCCACTCTCTCGGATATTGGTCTAGGAGGGTTTTCAGTGCTTTGCAGGCTCGCTTTGCAACTCGCTGGACATATTGCCACGTAACTTGCCCCAAATTTTGCATGAGCTCGTCCAGCATCACAACCCACCATCCCTCTTGGGCACCCGGAGCAGCGCAGCTCGCGGTGCAGCGAGGCCAGCGGTGGGGAGGCCGTGGGCCCCTCACTGCCTTGGACGTGGGAACCACTTCACTCACTCTTTTAGAGGAAATGGGAGAAAAACAACCGCAGGAAAACCGCGTGTSAGACGTGCTGAGGCTCAGCGTCAGATACAGCTGGATTGTAGGGATTTGGGTGATGTTGCTAATGGGAAGCAGGCAAGTTCAACACCGTGGAAGGATAAAGAAGTTAAAACATTCTTAGACATTCTTACACCTTGATTTCCAGGAGCTTTWTGATAGCCGCTGCCTAGCTGTTAGGATTAGTTTAATTTACGAAACAGCTCTCTAGGACCAAGCTTTTCAATCATGCTTCACTTGGAAACAAAAAGCCTGAGATCTTAGCCAGCAAAAATACTTTCTGCAGCTCTTGGCTGGTGTATAAATTGTACAAATTTTCATAGTTCAAGAGAAAAGGGAGGAGCTACTTCATGGCTCTAGGTGTGACTTGAGGCTGGTGGCCAAAGGCTAGACCTGGAGGCAGGAATTCCTTTTAGTACTAGGATTAAGGACATTGTTTGCAGACTCTAGGTGTGGCTGTGCATACAACTGTTGCATATAAAAGCTTAACAAAGGCAATAAAGATCTTTTCATTGTTATCAGCAGTATTTTAACCGTGACCAAAAATTGCCTAACTCTTCTGAAGTCTTGACTTCATCCATCCTTGCAGCCCATGGGATTTTTGAAGTTTAGCACTGCCAAGAGAACATCCTGCTGCATAGAAACGTTTGCTCGTGCAAGTCTTTACTCACACAGGTTCATGGGGTGCTCGTACTCATGCAATGATCGTCATAAATCTAGTTAGGACAAAGTCCTCCTGCCCTGCGTCAGCACAGCTCTATGTGCACTTTGCTCGAATCCCTCTGCTTGGACATCCAGGGATATTTCATGTAAGCAGCCAGAGTGCAGTAAGCAATAAATAAAAGTATGCAGACAGAATCAGAAAAAAGGGAAAATGCAATTTTATAAGGCTCTTTCAGCCCAAGAATTAAGACTGAAGTCTCTTGGGAGCAGAGCTTAAGCTGTATGGGCTGCGTTCCTGTAAACTGCTGCTATTTGGGAGCGCTGTAAATACAGCAATTCTTTAAGCAGTGTCTGTTCTCTTAGAGAGTCCTGACAGCTTGGAGCAGTATTTTATTTCATCAGTATTTCTGCTTATTTTCTGCGAGACTCTCAATGTCTGTAATGTTAGAAAACACGTAGCATCTGATCCCTTATTAGATCTCTTCCTCAATGCAAACTATTGGAATAGAATCCCTTCAAGGCACTTCCCTTTTACTAATCAAAACCAGGAAACACAGAAGCCTGCTGGCTTTGCCCTTTCAAAAGAGGAAACATTTCTGAGGTTCTAAGACAAGGGAAACCACATTAAGACCTGGGCTGATCTGACCTGCTTGCTTGATGTAAGTGGAATTGTCCACCTTGAGGTGCTTGCTGCTCTGGATGAGGCTTTGGGATGTTCCCAGAGGATGAGCTGGCTCTGCACCTTTGGTGAGGAGTGTTCACCAAGAATCAATGTGCAGAACGCTGCGTCTTAGCTGCCCCATTTGTGTTGGGTTTAGTTGTGGCCTTATCATTATTTAAATGAAGGTTTTGAATTTAATTTCCGTGKAGAGAATAAGTCGTGACCTTGGAAAATGGCACCCAGTCAAGAATGCCATTTAATAACAATATTGAATTCTGTTCAATGTAATATTTTTCATAAAATTGCCTTAGTCCCTGGTGAACTGCCTACGAAATCTCCCTCAACTTCAGACTGTTCCTTCCTATGACAGAAGTTGCATTGGCACAATACAGGCAGCCTGGGGATGACAAATACTCTTCCGAGCACTTGTTGCAGTCCTCCTTTGCCAGAACAAAAGCAAACGTCACACCTAAAGTTCAAAGATACTTGCTGGCAGCTGCAGCAGATTTGGCAATGTTTAATGCTTGCGTTGTGCAGCTGCCACACAGCGCTGCAATCTCGTCCCTTCAGAGCAGGCCTGGGAGAGGGACAGGAAGGCAAAGTCCCCTTAGTGACAACCTATTTGCCTTCCAAAAGGAAATGATACCCTAGTGACGCAAGGTCTCTCTCCGTATCCTCCTCTTGCAGGTTCAGTTACACCAGGCTGTAAGCAGAGAAGCATCTCCCTGTCTTCTATTTAAATACTACTCCCCCAAAATAAACAAAATGAACAAAATAAAGACATAAAACACTTCAAACATCCACAGGAAGTGCTCCTTGACTGCATTTTGGTTTGGTTCCTTGCTAGCTCTTGCCCAGTGCTCTAGGATTCCTTTAAGCCAATGAACTAAATGAATTTGGCACGAGCGGGCTTGCAAGGCGRGCAGCAGTCCTGTGACGAAGCTCCTGCCGTATCATTGCTTTGCAGGAGAGATGGGAAGAAAAAATAAATCATAAAAGGTGCYTGGAAGATGGAAAAGCAAAAAGGATGCCAAGAATAAAACAGTAAGGGAACTGAAAAATAAAATGAARCATCTCTCACTTCCTGAATTTAAAATGAAGACCATTTTCATCTTTTTTCCCCCTTCTCTTTTCTATTTAAGAGGACAAAATAGAGTTCTAAGACAAGACAAAGGTAAGAGGAAAGAAAAAAAAGTTCAGAGAAGACAGAGGAGACATTGGACAACACCCAACTGTGCCAGGTGAGGCCAGACATGAGCAGATAGGAAAAAATAAAAAGGAGGGAGAATTAAGTGACAATATCTGCCACTTAAAGATTGGCACTAAGCCACTCTCTATAAAACTTAATGCATTGTATGTGACTGTAAGTGATTCTTCTTCATGTGAGGAATGGGCTTCTGAAGTGCTGGGCGAGGCTGCTTTTGCTCCCGTGCCTCCCTCGCAATCTCCCRCAAGGATTTGCATGGAAGCCACTTTGCTCCGTTTCGAGCAGTGGGGAGGTGACTGCCATTTACTCAGCATGAGTTGAAAGTCTCTGACAGCTGATGGGATCAGGCAAACTCCTCCGTGGGAAAGTGTCATTGCTCTATTTGCAGTCGGGCAAAATATTTTAACCTGCATTGTAGAAAGCAAGCTGAATTTGGGCTCATTCCTCTTGCTTATGGGCAGAGTCCCCTGACCTCACGCGCGGGAGGGTTCTCACCGAGGCAGATCTTTAACCGTTTTGCCAAAGTCAGGATCTGATGCTTTTTTGTGGCTCCCGTCCTTCAGCTGATGGGCCTCCGACACCCTCATAACGATGTAGCGCTGGGATCCTGAAAGGCAGAGGCAGGAAAGCAGGGAGAGCACGTGAGACCCGGGCTGCGGATGCTGCGCACGTGCGGGATTCACAGGGGAAGAGGCAGCAGCATCCTCTGCCAGCCAGGCTGACTCAGCTGCACTGCTGCTCAGCAGTGTTTCCTTGTYGGAGAGGGACTGTTTTTTTCCAATCAATGTTTTTCTCCGGGCATTTCTATGCCTGCATTCCCTCTCCTTCCCAGGAACCAGCAGGCAGTGCCCAGATCTGTGGCACTGGATACCCCTAGAGCCTCTGTCCTGCACTCCAGCCTGGTCTCCAAGAAACCTCCMTTCCCTCTGCAATCTCTCTTAGAGGTGGGACAAGAGTGGGAAATTGGATAGCTGCAAAACCAAGTGGGAAATGAGTGTATGAATTACACTTTAAAACACCAGAACCTCTTTCTTTGCCTTGCACTTGCCCCACTTTGACCTGCGCCCAATACCCACGTTGGGCATGGCCTGGGGGCATCACCAAAGAGACAGATGGAGGCAGCGAGGCCGGAGGGCTGCACACCAGCGACTTGTGCAAACGGGCAGCAGCCACAACCAGGGGCAAAGCAGAGAGGGCAAAGGGAGGGGAGGCTTCACAGTGGCAGATGCGAGACCAAAGATGCAYGTGCAGGGCAGAGCCCGCAGGGAAAATGACTCCTGCTGCTCCTCCTTCCCTGCACAGGCACATATGGCACGTGAGCCTGAGCGTCAGGGCATGGGGACACTGCCAGAAGGCAAATCTCAAGCAAGCGGGGACTTCCTGCTGTGCCCCGGGGTAATCAAGTTCTAGTGACAGATCCCTCTTCCCACGCCAGCGTGAAGGAGCTAATTTGCACGGTCTCATTTACAGCCTCGTCACGTTCAACTGCCTAGAAGCAGCCGGCAGCTGACGCTGCTCATGCACGGCMGCCCGAAACAGCCAAAAGTGCAGGTGTGAGCCCAAACCCATCCCTTGTCCCTTGCGCCCCGTGCTTGGCGGTATGCATACCAGGGAGGCGGTGAGGGTAGCCCAGGATGGGGATGGAGATGAGGAGGGAGGCCGCTCCCGCGCCAAGGAAGCCGATCCACCAGGCCCCCACCCAGTGCGTGTTGTCTGGGGTGATGTCGATCCTGTAAGAAACACAAGAAAAGGACACAACGGGGAAAGGCAGYGGTTTGAAAAGCAGGAGAGCTCAMCTCTCCTCGTTCAGATAAAATTCCCTAGCAGAAGCCCAAATTTCCCCAAATCTTGGCCAACACCCCAACCAGCACTGTCTGCAAACACCAGCAAGGTCTATTTTGCCAAAGTTTAATGACTGACTGCTCAGGAAACCACATTAGTTAACCCTCCCTTAATCTCTAGTTTGCACATGCACCTCCTCAGATTTCATTTGTCCTTTGGGGGTTGCTGCAATCATTGTTTAATCCTGGACCCACCCTTTGGGAGAAAGCTGGGGAATCACTCGTTTCCTCACCCACATGAAGCCCTTGGGGACCCAAAGGGAGTCTTGAAGCCATTTGCTCACCAAAGGGAYTCCAAGATAACAGGAGAAACCAATAAACTGGAAAATCCTCCGGAGAGGGAAGAGGTTGGATCCGGATCTCCAGGAGGAAGAGCAGCACAGTTGGCAGCAGTGCCAAATTAGGGAACTCATTCAGAAAATGCACCTGCTGCTCGCAGCCCAATTAGAGCAAGCAGGGCAGCGTAAGGATGGATTTAGGCTGACAGGTGGGTGAGCAATTTTCCTCCGGTGACAGCATGCGAGCTTCCCCCCGCCCCGAGCGCGCCGGGCACGCGCCCGCCTCGCAATCCTCCAGATTTCTGGACCCCAAAGGAAACGTATAGCATAAAGGAAAAGGAACAAGATGGTGTTTTAGCGACTTACTCTCTGCCAATTTCAGTATAAATATTTAGAAACATTCCTCCTACCAGATAACCCGCTGCAGGCCCAAGGATTGCAGCAGTGTAGAAGACAGCTGGAAGGGAAAGGAGGCCACATTAGTTGGACTCGATGATCTTGAAGGTCTTTTCCAACCAGAATGATTCTATCATTCCATGGTTAGAGGAATGGTGGCATTGCAGYGGACACAGAGTGGGGACGCCTGTGACCTCAGGGCAGAAATTACAGTGGGGAAGAGCAACTTTTGGGACAGCCCAAGGCTTCAAACAGCATCAAGCTGGAAGATGCAGAGCACACTCCACTCTCCTGCTCTGCAAGCTGCTGTGGCAGAGGGAGAGGAGCCTACTGCAGTCTCCTAAAGCTCCGGTGAGTTTTGGGTTCATTTTGCCCATTTGAAAAACGCATTCAGAGGGAAAACATGGTTGTGCAGTTAGTATTTTGCTATTTGCTGTGTTTCCCCACACAGCAAGCCCACAGCTTGGCGTGCCAAGCAGCGGTGCTCTCTCACCGCCAAGAGCATCAAGCAGCAGCCACACAACATGGTGCAGCATTGAGATGCATTTTGGTTCATCACCATTAACTAATTTGCCAGTCAAAGACTGAAAGATCATTGACTACTTTATCTAAGTGTGCTAAAAATACATGGCAATTGTTAAATGGTCAGYAATGCAGAACTGGAGAAGGAACAAAAGGTTATTTTTGAGGAAAGCTTCACTATCCTTTACACTCCAGAGGTATCCTGTGGCACGACCAGGACAACAAGCCCGGGCCACCAGGCTGTCCTGACCCTCCTGCAGGACAGAGTAGTGATTATCATGCTCAGATCTGCTCCTGCTTGAGGGCTCTGCCCTGCCGACACCTGCGCTGCAGCGGAGGCCCCTCCAGCTCTGCAGGGCGGATTCAGCAGGGAGGCTTCAGCACTCATTAAAATCATTCCTGCCTGTAAATAACTGGAAAGTGGGGGGAAAAAAAATCAAAACGGAGCAGCTGCTGCTTCTCACTGATTTTCATCCTGTCTGTTATTTAGAATGAAAGATTTGAGTATCTCCTGTGAAATCCCTCTACGTGCTATTGGGTGCCAACACTGATGGTCTGGCAGTCCCTCTGCTCACCAATGTACACAGGGGAGTAGTTAGTCTTGACATTTTCGTCGAGGTAGGTGACGCCGAGCGTGTAGAGCGGGGTGGCGCCGACGCCATGGAGGAACTGGCCCAGCATGAAGACGAAGCGGTAGCCGGCGAGGCCGGAGGCGGCCTGGGCGCAGGCCTGGCTGCGGTTGGCGGCGCAGGCGCCCATGTCCTCGGAGAACCGCGCCGCGTAGYGGCCCGTGGTGAAGTGGGGCAAGGCGAAGAGGAGCGAGCCCAAGCCCATGACCAGCACGCCCCAGCCCAGCCAGCGCGGCTTGTGGCCGTTGCCGCCGAAGTAGCTGACGAAGGTGAGGCAGGCGCAGGCCGCGATGTCGTAGGAGCTGGCGATGAGCCCGCTCTGGTAGCTGCGGAGGTCGAAGCGCCGCTCGATGGACGTGACCACCGTGTTGATGAAGCCGTTCACCGTCATGCCTTGCAGGAAGGAGGCCATGCAGAGGAAGAGGAGGATGCCCTTGGGCGTGTTGAAGAGCTGCAGGCAGCCGGGCGTGAAGGCTCCCCAGCCGCACGCCAGTTCCTCCTCCTCCTCGGCGGACACGTACTTGACCCCTTCGCTGTAGGCCGTGCGATCCTCTGGGCAGCCATGGCACAGGGGCTTCACGCACGAGTCCGACGGGCTGCTGGCGACRGAGTACACGGTGCCATTGCCGAGCGGCGTGTCCCGGGCCTCCGTGGGGCTCGGCGTGTCGAAGCCCAAGCCGTTCTCAAGYGGTGCAGGCGGGCCCGGGAACACGAGCGTCTGGGCAAAAGGGAAGCCGTTCTCGCTGGTTAGACTGTGCGGCATTTCCATGGATTGGGAACCAGAGCCAAGCGGCCTTCTGGGTTCTGCCGGGCTCAAGGGATTCCTCGGGATTGCTTAGGATTGCTCGGGATTGCTTGCTGGGATGCAGCGGCCAGGAAGCTGCAGTCTTTGGTCTTAGGTCAGCAGGAAGACGGCAGACACCTGAACCAGGAACATTTCATGCTGCAAAGARAAGGGAAGACACCATTAATCAAACCGACACGGGAAGCACCATGACCAAGGCCAAAAGGAAGCACTGCTGTCCTTGGAAAGACCCGTGGACACATCCACGGGGTSTGGTTTACATAGTCTTGAGTTCACCCAAGCCTGGGAGGAGAGATGGGTACATCTGGAAGGAACCGTGTGCTTGTCTGGCTTTGTCAGCTCCAGGGGGAGGCTGGATGTCTAAATGAGRCTGCACACCTCAAGATGCCTAAAATTAGATGACGTTAATCCCAGACTTTCAGTGCAAACAGGTTTTTAAATAGAAACATCTGCTTGGCAGAGCTTTGATTTCATAGGAAACTGCACCAAAGCCTCTCAAGTTTCTCCTTTTGTAGGGTACTTTTCCTTAAATACAGCAACACTTCAACCATRCTTTTCCACTTCCTGATGAGTGTTTTGGTACCTCAGTTACTGGGGTACCTTTAATCACAGTAAAAAGAACCCATAAGCATAAAAAAAAAAACATAGAAAAAAAATCCATTAAAAGCATTCTCACTACCAATTGGAGCCCATTATCCTTTTTTTAGGTTCATTTTAGTTCAAAGCGATTCTGCTTTGACACTGACCCTTGCTTGGCCAAGTACAGCCTTTTTAACCTCTCCTTTCTCCCGTGCAAACTCTGCAGAAAGCAAAAAGTTTCCTACTGCTAAAAGTCCTTTGGTCTCTCCTTGATATTATGCTAATAGCAGCTTATAATTATCCCCCAAACTTTCCACGGTCAGATTGATTTTCTTTCAGGCCACTAGATCTGTTTACAACTCTTCACTAGAATCCTTCCTATAACTAATTAGACTGTACGTGCCATTGGAGAGCAAGCCAGAGGGCACAGGCACCTGACTCTAAACTGATTACGGATCGAGCATTGCCTTCTTGCAACGGGTCCTCGTGCTGTCTTAGTAGCTCAGCATCCCACCATTGCCAGCTAAAAATGGTATTTTTTTGGTTAAATGCAAATGTGAAGAATATTTTTTGAAAATATTAAAGTTCTCCCTTGAATAATGATCTTAATTATGCAACAAATGCTAGAGAAAAATATTGATGGCAGAGTATCTTCAAAGTGTCCTGCGTTTCGTAATCACTAGGAGCTGGTGAGGACTGCCAATATTTGTTCAAGAGGTTCCTATAAAAAATGCTTCTCTTTAGATTGCAATCAGCCTCCCAAATGGAGAGTGGGGAAAATGGTCGTTTGTTTTCCCCAAAAAACAGGCCATGTTTTGACCACTGTAATTTGGAAATTTGCAGCCTTTAGCAAAGAAGTTAATATGCCCGTGCGCTGCTGGAAAAGTGTGTTGATCATGAATCATGGAGCAGTAGTGCCCATTTCTTTTGGTGCTGGTGGTTCTTGCCACTAAAGCAGGTACCTGGGCAGCATTAGATGCCTAGAGTACCATTGAGGTCCTATTTCCACCTAGGAAGGGCAGAGGATATACCAAATATGCAAGCACACAACTTTAAAGGGGTATTTTTTACTTTGCAGATCCACAGTCTGAATAACTTGTAATTTTGCTGGCAGTCCTCCGCTTAGGATAACCCAGAAGCACATTTATAGTTCCTAAGAAAYTTTTACTGTGTTAAAAGCTATTTTCTTTGGATGCTGCCAGTACAAAAATCTCCAGGCTACTGTTAACATGTGTAAATGCAGAAGCTAAGTGCAAGCTTTGAAATTTAGCTGCAGAGCCAGACTTTTGTAATGTGCTGTCGTAAAAAATATAAAGCCTTAGATGAAGGGCTATAATTTTGAACTCTTTCCTTCCCTCCAATGTCTTTATGACTCTTACAGCTCTAAATCTATCTTCTTAGCTTTGGATGCAATATTGGAAGCAGTAAATAAGAGTGCTGTACCCTCTCAAATCAGATGGGTGCATTTGTTAAAGTTTTCTCTACCTTGAAGCAGCAGGAATCTGTGCATCCAGATCYCAGCGCCTGCATCGTTCTCTCCTTCCAATCCCGTGAGACAAATACAGGGAAAACACATTCCCAAGAATGTGTGAATTCCTTCWCCGGCGCTAACAATTTGTATCCCTGTTTTCCACAAAGGAAGCCAGTTTGCTACACATTAATGCCCACCAAGCTGCTTTTTATCTCGCAGAGCATTTCTGAACTGTAACTGACACTCACTAAGAATATTAGTTTTCACGTGAGCCATATGCCACTTTAGAGGACAAAACATAATCTCGAGGGAAAAAAAAAGTCCTTAATGCAAATCATTCTTATTCATCTCAGTCATACATTTATTGCTTATCATTTATGTCTATTTTTACTGACTCAGCTGGTGATTTCTTGCTTATTTTGAACCATCCCCGATGCTATTATCTTCCAGCTACAGATTTATTCATTTTACAGTATGATTTTATCTGAATTTTTAAAGATGTACAGCTGGTTCCAGACTATCAACATTACAAAGTCAACACGAGGAAAGCAGCCAGGCAACGAAAGCATTTGATTTGTATTTCATCATGAAACATGTAAAGATTCAACCCCCCTAATATTAAACATTAAATCAATAGTAAAACTTACAAGCTTTCCATCAGACGATCACTTTGAAAGTTGCAGGACCAATTAAAAGCATTTTGTGTCTCTGCTGGGGACTGTGATTAGATCAATGCTACGAATTAGCTCATAACTGACATGTAAAATAACCCCGTTTGCTGAAGTGCACCGAGTTACGCTCCCACATTTAAATCCCACTTTTCCCAGCTAGATCTGAGGATGTGGAACCAAGTTCTTGGGGACAGTGCAGGGAGCCCAGGGCTGTCTCACTCACTCTCCCCCTGGCACAGGAGCCATCCTGACCTTGCTAAATGGGAATATGGGAATATTTCTGGCTGTGGGAAAAGCGCAGGTCTGAGTTTCAGGCTCATCTGTTGCTCCCAAAAGGGACRAATTCATCTGGGCTGGTGCTTCCCTTTCCCTAGTGACACATATTGATTCAATTTTCTTGGGTAACTCGGGTTATGAGGATTATCTGCATTACCCCTGGCGCAGATGATAGGCACCATATGGATAAAGTGCAATCYGCTCCCTGGCTTAGCGATGGGAAAGCCTCCCACAAGCGGGCCAAATCCCCACCAGGGCTCTGCAAACAGGGCTGCTCCTCGTGGTGCCGATGGAGCTAAAAGGGAGATAAAGGAGTAAATCAGGCTGTTCTCTGCTTCATGCAACACTGTAAACCATTTCCCTGGCAGGGAAACCCTCCGCAACAACTGCCCTCTTTATGCAGCCTGTCCTTGGTCTGCAGAGGTGTGAAGGCTGATGAGGAGCATTTCCAAAGAATAGCTCGGGAACAACCCCCTCCAAATCCATCCTCCACCTTCTGCAGGTGAGAAGGCTTCTAGAAATGGAAGAAAAGAGCAGTATCCTGGCCCAATCCTCATGTTTGGACGTGTTTTCACATGATCACTCCCACGGGAGTCTGTACCATCCAACAGAGCAGTAGAAGCTGGTTTTAAGGCATCACATGGACAAGGCCACATTTATAATTAAATAAATTGCAGATAGGAAAGCTTAGCACTCACAAAATCCTTTGTATGTTTTCCAAGCACTTAGCTCTCACTAGCAAATTAATGCAATAACAGGCAAGAAATCAGGAAGGTGGCTTGGATAATTTTCAATTAGCTGCCGGAAAATTCTTTGAAGATAAATCTCTCCAGATTTTCTGAGCTTACTTATTTGTTCCAGCTTATCTGTGCAAATGCAATCGGCTGCAGCTGCCTTAGCCCATCTTTAAAACACTTGCAGTACCAATGCACAAGGTGGATTTAACTGGGTGACTATACTCTGCTATAGTAAAGATTATCCATACAAAAGGGTCTTTTATAGTTCAGTACCTAACTCCCTTCCCTCTAATGCTACCCTTGCTTTAATGTCTTTTTCTTCCCATAAATTTGATCAATGGAAATGTTTTCATGCAAGCACTAGTGAAAAAAACCTTTTTTCCCTCTTGCACACCTGAAGGCTTTTCCTGTCCATAGAACAGACCTTTTGTGGGTTATTTGCTACAAATGGGAGCACAATTGGACAGCTGTACTAGCAAAAGCACACTGAATTTTAATCTTCTTCCAAACCTTTCTAAAAAGAAAGGTTTTACATAAGTTGTAGTGTTTTAAATCAGGCCCTGAATGGCCAGTCCTGCAATAGAGCAGACCCAGGATTGCTGCAGTTCAGCAACACCGGCTACCTGGGCTGCATGGGATASAGATAAGTCCTCTTGCTGGAGAGGAGGGATCTTTACCATACGAAAAAGGAAAGGCTGGTGTCCTACATGTAAACCTAACCATGTAAAATCCTATTGCATGTAGTATACAGCAGCTCATGCTAGCCAGTCCTTTTCTCTCTTCAAGCCGTTGAGACTATTACTACTTTAAATATATGTAGTAAGTTGTTCAAAGCACCTTGGGAAGGACTCTCCCTCTTTGGAAGAGGACATATCTTTGGAAGAGGAAATATCCTCTTCCCAAGACTCAATCACATTGTTTCTATGCAGATGTAGATTTGGGCACATCCTATATAATACAGAAATTACCGAAATGAGCGTAACACGAAATATCACTACAGCTTCCAAGGTCCAGAGCAATAAGAAAGCAAAGCAGAACACCATCCTGTGCTGCACAATACAAAGACACTGGGTATGTTATCAATAAAATAAGGTAATGCTGACATCTACTATGGTTTATGGGAACCTGATTCTATTTCATTCTCCTGGTGTGATCAGCGTGAAACAAAGCTGAAAAGGGCAAACCCAAGGAAATGAAACCATGAAACTTTGCAGAAATCATCTCACAAACAGATGGATCTGGCACTAGTAACACAGGCCATTCTGTTGTACACAGTGTATTAAGATTAKATAGAATTGTTGCATCCTCCTGATCAACAGAAGGCAATAGTCATTTCTGGTGTAGTCAAGTCTCCCAAATGCTTATCACAAGCTTTTTTATTACACTGCTGCTGAATAACAGGCTTTTCATCCGGCTCTCTTTCCTCCAGTGAATGATCAATTCGTGTATTACGCTGGGCTGCAATCCACTCGCACAGTATCGGGAATCCATTTTTGGCTTGATTGTGGGTTATCAAAAGCAGAAACGTGATCACGCTTGGAGCTGGAACTATTTATACACTAGCTCAGACCTGCGCCCCTCTTTCCACTGTCACCCATCCAAAAAACACAAAACGRTCTGGTGAAATTCAAACATTTCCATATTTGCTTGCTTGTTTTTTATACTCCATATGTGTTTACTACTGAGGACTGTCAATGAAGAACTGCCACAAATGAGTTTCACATGAACCCTGACTGGTGAAGAACCTTTCTTTCACGGGGTCTTATCTCCCTTTCTTTTCAAGCTATAAGTAGGGCAAATGTGGGAGAAAGCAATCCTTTAATCCTCATTTTCTGCTGCAGCATGAGAAGAAACCAGGACAAAATCATGGACAGTATCCATTTCTGATGAGGGTAAGAAGATTTGGTATGGGATGCATCCTCTAGGTTGTCTCTTTTACATGATATGGGTGCAATCTTTTGGATGCCAGCACCCAAATTGCTGCTTCCCTTCTTTATGAAACGGACCACCTTCCTACCCGTTTCATTTYAGATTTTCTGGAGAAAACCAAGTACCATGGGGCCACACTGGTCTTCCAATGGGAGACAGACTGAGAGGATGTTCTAAAGAGTCTCAAGTTAAAGACAAGTTTTCCAGTTCAACCCAAAGCTGAAGAGCTCTAGGCCTGCGTATTCCTGTCTTACACTGGATGACACAGATGAGCAATTATAAGAGCAATGTGTGTCATGGAGAAAGAATCTTTCTGATTATCAGGTTTTCCACCCAACAGTCACCCCAAGTGACACTATGAGTACCTGAAGTGTGCGAGATGAGCAGTGGGTGAAAACCCCACAGAGAGGCAATAAATAAAGCGAGGATCCGGAGCAGGGAAGCCTACTTCCTACAGAGCCCCCCTCTCCCCTCTTTTTTTCCAGACCAGCAAGTACCAGCTTCCCCAAACACCTCCCAAAGCACAAGTCCACTGGTGCACACCACTCAGTTTGCATCTTGCTTAACATGCAGCGATGTTCACTAATCCACATAGGTATTAATGTTGAGGTTCCTGTCCAGCACAGCCACCCAGGCAGCACTTAGAGGAGGTCACACCTTCCAATGGTCCATTTTGCAAAAGAGAGCAAGCTCCAGGTAAGCTCAGAGTAGCATTTCAAGTGTAAAGTTAAGTAGCCCTGATTTCTATGCCCCAGATGAAGCCCTAGGATGTCATTCTGCTTTAAGAGATGGATTTTTATCTCTTAATTAGGTGTTTAAAAGTTACGTGTCTAATCAGAGTTAGTCATCTCTATTGTCTCGCTGTTGCCCATTGCAAAGGGATCATCACCTCCAGGTTATTAAGGCTCCTAAGTTGCAATCACTACTTTGGGTTAATAAATCACTCACCAGCGCAGCCAAGATCTGCCGCAGGAACGGGCACATAATCATATTGCTCTTGGATTAGCCAAGCACATTGTTCCGAGTTTATTCTGGCCTTACGTTGGCTACCACAACACGAACAATATTTGATCTAGCACAAAGCCAGATGGTGCAATTTAACCCTTCAGCACAATCTGACGTGGCACAAGTGAGTTTGCCTGAGGTCAGAGCACTGGGTGGTGTGGCCATAGGGCTTCTCGCTCGGTGTTTGCAGTTCCCAAGTTTCCTGACATCAAGCACTCCTTATTCCTTTCCCAAAGATGAGCTGAACAAAACCTATAATTTGCATTTTGAGCGTATTTCTTCCTCAAAAAATAAATACCATGTCAGCTTTGGGTTAATTTGTATTTGATCTTRCAACATTTTTAGGTCGTGACAAATTCCGGATTTCCATAGAGGGGACACTTCCCTTCCCTATTGCGTAATGGAGGAGATATGATGACTCCTTTCAAAGGAATAACTTTTCCTTCTCGAACTCAAAATCCCAATTCAGTACTACAACCAGAAGCTACAGCTACAGCAAGGAGGAGATCAGGGCCAGGAACTCAAGCTTTGACATCCTTTAGACACGCTGGGGGAAAAAATAATACTTGGAGCAATGCAATTGAGCATTAAGAGGCTTCTGGAAGAAAAACAGCTCCATATAAAACAGCAGTTCCATGCAAGCACAGACCCACGTGCAAATGAGTGTAGGCAAGGGGAGAGGAAGGCACGTGCACAGATGTGCATCCTCYAAGTGCAAGAAGCACTTGCTTTGCAAACACATTGCATGCAGGATGCCACTTTTCTCATTCTAAGAGGCTCAATCCAATCAGTAATTCACTCTTACTGCCAGGGAGCAAATTGTCGCCAAATGGTTTTTTTTTTCCCTGAGATAAAGGAATAAACATGCATATAATGTTTCCATTGCCAACGCGAAACATCTGCTGGAATTCGGAGGGGGTTGCTGTCCATGCGCACTGGGCAAAGGCTTCTGCTTTGTACCCTCTGCTTTCTCACGCATCAGAAATTGCAGCATTAGAGAGCAGCTGTTGGAGGACAGATTTACCTGGAAATCTGAAAATTGCCTTCCAGGGAATCCTGCTTCCATGCAGCAATATAGTGTGTTTTCCTTTGTGATTTAGGGGATTTTTAATAATAGTTCCTAARGACCTGCCTG